CTGCCACTCTCTCTGAAAAGCAATGGAAAAAATATCCTAAGTTGAGGATTAAAAAAAAAAAACAGGCTTCTCAGGCCAGACTAGGGCTGCTCCTACCCAGGCACATTGTGGACTCCAGCATGGGACAGTGGTCCTGAAGGACCTGGCCCCAAACATCTCAAAAGTGGCCAGTTAAGGATTGCCCAGCCCTAAACTCAATGGTGTAAACCTCTCTGAAGCTGACTTTTGTTTAAGAAGTGGTGAATTCCCAACCTCAAACTCTAAACCGGGGAAGTTAATGGACCTCAGCATCAACCACCTGAGACCACATGGAGAGACAATGGGACACATCAAGGACCCTGAGAAGTCAGAGTTCACTGCACCACTGGAAGATGGAAGAGTCCCCAGGGTGAGACACACCAGCAAATAGATCCCTCCAGGCACCTTAAATATGATCTGGCTCCTCCCCCTGGCTGGCCCAGGCACACAGAGTTCATGTGCAAACTGCACACATGGCAGGTACAGTGAAGCAGGGCATGTGAACAGAGCAGCCTCACCATCACTGTGACATGAAACCTGCTCACTGCTGGCCATGCCACAAGTTAACAGCCAATCCCAGTTCTCCAAGCAGACAAACAAACGCATCAGTCCTCCTAGAGCAGAAGACATTGCAGAACTGCCCATCAAAGTGGCCCTGTTCCTCAGCACCGGGGCTCCACCCTCCCCACCAGGACATCCTGAACACACTCAGGAGTGAGAACATGAAGAGCACCTCCCCAGTGGCGGATGCACGTAAGTGTGGCACACCCGTTGCTTCCTTTAATGCTGTTACCACGCCAGCATCTGAGGAAAAAACAGGCACAACATGCACACTGCTCACTCGGTGGTGCCAGGGCAGCCTGCTCTGCTTGGCAGCCCCTCACCAGACCACCAGTGGCATGATCAGTCTGTCACCGGGCTTACCACAGCACGGCTCACGTGGCCAAAGCAGGCATCCCAGAGTGCAGCAGTGCCGGCGTCCCATCTAATTTCAAACGAGACTCAACACAGGAGCACACCCAGTCAGGTACTGGCAGCGGTGTGAAGCCTGTGGAGGAATGGCCGCAGATCCTCCTTGCTGGCAGTGCACACATGGCCCACATCATGGCCACGGTGGGCAGGGACTGCATTTATAGGGTGCCCCACAGGGACCCTCACTGCTAAGGAAGCAACCAGAGCCCAGTGTGGGAGGGTGCAACCCTCTGGGGCAGGGGAAACACAGACTGCCTTCTGGCTGTTTAGCATCTCCAGAGGCTTCAAATTTTTCAATATAAAGTTGGGGGAGGAATAATTACATCAAACATACAAAAAAAAGGTGAGCAGGGCTCTGGCATAAGCTGTCATCTGTTGGGCTGGGTGGGTCCCAGGGTGGTTAGCATCTGTCTTTGCCTCTGGCTAAGTGGCAACTGCCAGGTCTGAGAGATGGGGAAATGCCTAACCCAAGCAGAATAGAGGTGAGGGGTCAGAGCAGGGTGGACTCCCAATGCCACGCTCAGTAAGCCAAGCCCATGGGTAACACCACTGTGTGATTCTCTCAGGATGGGGTGGGGGCTACAGGGAGGCATTCCTTGAAATGGAGAAGTGAGGGGCCTGGTCTCAAGTGTGGGGCAGGGCCAGAGCACTGGCGATGACCTGCACTCCACACCAGTCACTCACCAATGCACATCTCATCCTAACAACCCCAGACTGAGGCCCTGCCAAGGGTACAGCTGAGACAGCCAAGCCAGAATCCACATCCTGGCCTCTGGCTCCAAAGCCCAGAGGAGGCCCAGGTGGCAGAGGTCGTGTCCATCAGGTTGAGGGCAGGTGCTGCCGGGAGTCACCAAGTGCCTGAGCCATGCTGCACTCCCTTGCCCCCAGGCCACCTTTGGTGGCCGTGAGGGTCTGGTCAGTTTTGGAGAGAACATTTGGTGGGGGCCCCTGGCGTGGAACCACACTCTCTGACATGGGCATACCCCCAAGGGAGACACCGAGCTTGTTCTGGACATGTCCTGGCAGATGCTTACTTCCAGGCTGGAGCCATTCTCTCTCCACAGAACTTCAAAGAGCAGCATCCACTCTCACTGACCCCGAGCACCAGAAGTTAGCCAAGGGCACCAGTGACTGCCCTCCCCTGAGCAATATAGAAAAGCAGGCACAACCTGCAAACAAGGGTCCATGAACTGAATGTTGGGGGCTGGCATGGCCACACCTGTGGGTGCTGAGGGGCTGCTGAGGCAAGGGCATCTGAGCCTGTGGCTCGGCGGCCTCCCCACAGAACCTCTAAGGAATCGAAAATCCCAAAAACCTCAGCTGACTGGTCTAGGCCCCAGGGTGGAGGGGCTGG